CAGAGGAAGGCTGAGCCCGCAGGAAGGTGGCACGGGGCTGGCTGTGCTCACCGGTGCCCAGCGGGGCTCTGCAGAGCACTAAACCCACTCAGCTCCGAATGCCACCCCCGTACCAAATTGCATTAAATCCACAAATTGTCCCGACGGTGCCGTAGTTACGATCCGCTGAACACGTGTCCTGTTGGGAGCAGGTAGGTGCTTCTCCTAAGTCAACTCTCAGCTCTCCCCAGGGACTGGGATGGCACATGGTTCGATCCGGCACCAACGCAGGCAGGTGGGCATCGATCCGGCCCTAATTGCAGATGGTAATTGGCAGCGGGAACTCAGAGCTGCGACCGCCCACATCTCCCTCCTCACCCTCCATTGCCATCGGATGTTTCTTTGATCTGCCAGTTCCCCGGCACTGGGGAACAGAGACTTCTCTCGCAGCGCCAGGACGGGCACAAGGACCTGCTTGGGAAGCTGGGCTGGGCGCCCACTGCTGCGGTGAGTTTGCTGGTGCTCGGGTGGCAGTGGTGCTGCAGTGGGGAGATGCCCTCAGAGCAAACTGGCCTCCTGCCCCGCCGCTGGGCTCGACCTGCCCGGCTGCTCCCTCGGGGCCAAGGGATTTAGTGTTAATCCGGATCATTTTCCCTGATCTGGGTCACGGCTCTGCGGATGCCCATGCTGACGTGATGGAGGGGTGTCTGAGGGCAAAGAGGGTGGCACCCGCTCGCCCCTAGGTGGGGTGCAGATCCATCCAGCCCCCACTGCCCGACGCTGGGAGCTACCTGGAAGCATCCTACACAGGACCCCCAGGCTCTGCAGGAGCCCCGGGTGCTGTGAGACCCCTGGGTGCACCAACTGCTGCCCAACAAAACCCTCCAGGAGCCAGGGCTGGGGGAGAGCCATGCCCCTCCCTGCCTTCCCTGCAGCTTCCTGGGTTGGGAATTTGGAAAAAAAACCCCACTTTTTACTTCTCTTAAACAAGCAAGACTCAGTGAACAGTTATCATCCTGGCACCGCTGGCTCAGCCCCAGGAGTCTCTCTTCCCTCTGACACTTGGGCACACATTCAAAGAAACCCATAAACCCTCGGGGATTGCAACTGTCTAATTAAGCACCAAATCCACGCGCCGGCACCCTCCCTGCCTGGCAGCCCCGGGTGCGGGGACGGAGACATGGTGTGGGTGCCCAGGCATCGGGCTCCCACGCCGGTGCCTCCGGGGAGGTCCATCCCGGACCGCAGCGCTCCCGGCCGGAGTCCCAGCTCCCATTTACAGGCAGTTCAGGGCACATCATTTCATACTTTGCAGAGTTAAAAGATAAATCTTCCCCCTGCCTCCAGCTCTCTCCGCCCGCCTCTCCAGCTGAAGGGCGATGTGTTTGTATCCCAATCCGTTCATTTGCTCTGATCCGGCGATGGATCTTCCCGTGTCCTCACCATCATCCTCCCCGACTCCAGCCGGGCACGGCTCCCTCCGTGGGGACAGACGGCCGTCGAGGGCAGGGGCCACGGGATGACCGCAGAGTCCCGGGGCTGCAGCAGCCGTTTCTGCAGGATCCTGGCTTCCG